ATGCCTTTGTTCAGAGCACTTCATCCAAAGTGCTGTTTGAGAATTGAGGAGTGACATATTTTAAATATGGCTAATTTAAACTGACAGACATAAGATCACAGATTTGAAACTGAAAAGTACCTTAGAGGCAATCTAGTACAACCCCCTTAATTTACAGGTGAGGAGACTGAGGCCCATGAAGTTTAAGTTGCCCAGGGTTACACCGGTAGTAATAATAATAATTGCAAACATTTATATACCACATTAGGTTTGCAAATCCCTGTACATACGTTATCTCATTTGATCCTCACAACAATCCTAAGAGTGTTATTCATTATACTCATTTTACAGATGAGAAAACTAGGCTGAAAGAGATAAGTGACCTGCCCAGAGTCACATGCCCAGTAAGTGTCAGGGGCAGGATTTGAACTCCCCAAGGCTTTGGATGTTGTACTACAAATTTCATGTTCTTTCTGTCTCTCCCTTCAACAACTAACATTTGAACAAGGTTTTAAAAGTTGGATAGAGTTTAAGTGGGCAGGGGAGAGCAGAATACTTAAGGAGGATAGCTAATAGTCTGGTTTGCCTAGAGACCCTAGGATTTTGTGGTATTTCTACCTCTGTATCATACCTACTACTTATAGGAAATGTAGGTTCCCAGGATTCTTCCAAATAAAATTATTTGACTTTTGTCTTATCTTCCCTTTCAGATTATAGCTAATTTGGACAAGCACTTTGTCTTAGCTTTGAATTCCCCATAGAATTTAGGGTAATGTCTACTATGCATATAGTATGTGTTCACTAAATAGTAGTTGAACCCAATTTTTTAAAAACTCATTCTTGGGGGCGGCTAGGTGGCGCAGTGGATAGAGCACTGGCCCTGAAGTCAGGAGGACCTGAGTTCAAATCCAGCCTCAGATCAGACACTTGATACTTACTAGCTGTGTGACTCTGGGCAAGTCACTTAACCCCAATTGGCTAAAAATTTTTTTAAAAAATTTCATTCCTACTATTGTCTTAGTATATTTATTTTTTCCTGATGTGGCTAATATAATTTTGATTTTTGTAGGGGAATTGATCAAATTTAGTAATTATAATTTTTATTGACTTGCCTTATAGAAGGAATTAGTATTATAAATAGAATATAAATATATTATGCATGCATTGTGTGTAAATATAATTATAAATAGAAAAACTATGAAATACAAACAAAAATTACCTACAGGAAATATCTAATACCTTAAGATGCACACAGTTTGAAGACAGGATTTACCATCCTGTAGCTCACTTAAAAAGTTAAGAATTTTGGGGCAGCTAGGTGGCGCAGTGGATAGAGCTCCGGCCATGGAGTCAGGAGGATCTGAGTTCAAATGCGACCTCAGACCAAACACTTAACACTTACTAGCTGTGTGACCCTGGGCAAGTCACTTAACCCCATTGCCTAATCAAAAAAAAAAAGTTAGGAATTTCAGCGATTTCATCTGACCAAGTTGAATTCAAACTAGAAAGTATCTTTTTCATTTTTGTTGATCTTTTGGCTTTATGTCTTCAATTCACACTTCATTCCTCCCTCAACCACAGAACTGTCCCTTAAGACAAAGAATAAGAGAAGAAGAGTAAAAAGCAATTCATTAAAACCAGTCATCATAGCAGTCATGTCTCTTCTTTGGAGCCAGGCTTGGTCATTGTAATTACAGAGTTCAGTTTCAACTTTTGGTTGTTGTTGCTGTTCTATCTGTGTATGTATCCTTGTATTCCTCATATTCCCCAGTTATTACACAATCATAGTTCATTGCATTTTTATAGCACAATTTGCTAAGCTATTCCCTAGTTGAACAAAACCTTTGGTTTGGTTTTTTGTTTGCTGTTACATGAGATTGTAAATATTTTGGCATGTGTTAAATATTTCTGTTTTTTACCTCCTTGGTGTTTATGCCTAGCAGTGGGATCTCCAGGTTATAAGGTAAAAACGTTTTGGTCACTGAAAGGATGATTTTTATAAATGGCATTAATGGTGAAATAAAATTGTGTTGCCTACTAAATAGAAATCTCTTTACAGATCAGCTATTCAGAAGATTCCCTCTGTTATGATCCACACATTTCATTTCATCATGATTTTGAATTTGTATGGCTAAGGTAATTTTATGTCAAAACTTTTTTGTTTGGTTCATTCCTTAGGCGATTGAAGAAAGTATGCAGAAATTTTAAAAGATTGAGCACTACAAAACACAGAGAGTAAAAGACTGGAGAAATATAATTACTCATAAAAAATAGAGATACTATCATATAAGAGGTATCTGCAGCCGTATTTGTCTATAGTATGTGACAGCCTACACTGTGCCTTATACATTGATTAAAATATATAATATATATTTCTAGGCCCCAGTGAACTTAATTACCTTGGTTGTAGTTTGTATTTGTAATTATTATATTTAGTTTCAAAGAAGATAAGTAATTTAACAAAGCGTTGCAAAAAGGAATATACTTAAAGGAATTTTGTAATTTGCATATAGTGCTTTGAATTTAATTTAATGAAAAAAGAATTCATCCAAATAAAAAAGATCTGACATCATTTAACACATTCAGTCAAGGAACCCTTGCTTCAGTGAAATTTATGCTTGCTGTATGCAAAGAAAGGCATGATTGACTCATGCTGCCTATTTACAAATTTTTGAATCTTGTTTATTTTGGCTTTTTATTTCTTTAAAGTGATAATGAGTATAAGCCTTATATTAATGTGTAAGATGTATGCCCATTTAATATATGTATATCCATATGGGTTATCTACATGTAACTTGCTGGAAGGCACTGATAGATACAATACGAAAGTATCCACTATCTCTGAGGAGAAAGCCAGCGTGAGTTGGGGTAGAATGTGTGGGTAGGGGAAGGGCGGGTTCCAGAGCTGCTCTTTCCCTAGTCTCCAAGGGGAAAGGGACTAGATTGGTATTATAGCTAACTGACGCACTAAATATTGTTGGTGTGAGATATAATACACTCCATACAAAAGCCTCAAAGCGATGAAGTAAATTGTGGTTTTCTCTCTTCTTACCCACAGAAGAATTCTAATGTGATAATATTGTGCTGCAAGGTAAGCCCCAGGTAGGTACCAAAACACCTGACCAACAGGAAGAATCAGCATATGCATGCTTGTCAGTTGTTACTGAACTACTGTAGTGTTTAATCATTACTTAAACAAGAATCTCATCTACCACGTATTTATCAAGTGGTCATCTAGTCTTGCTTAAAGATTTTCAATAAAGCCTTTTTAAAATTATATGGCTGTATGACATTGCAGCATAAGGCCAAGCAGCCATGTTTCACAGTGGATAGATGTTGGACCTAGAGTCAGGAAGACCTGAGTTTAAATTAAGCCTCAGACCTTTAATATCTATGACCTTGGACAAGTACAGTTGTCACTTTACATAAATTCACATTACACAATTTTGTTTATGTAAAGGATTCTGAAAGAAATTCACATTCCAAAAAACCATCAATGTTAACTTTACTGTACAGTACTGTGTTCTCTTCACTCCTGCCCCTCTGTTCAGCAGCTTCCCACCCCCAACCACCACCACCACCCAAAAAAAAAAACCCTACCAAGTGAAAGCAGAATGGAAATGCAAAAAGGCCACTGCTGCTGGATCTAGGGTTTGGCTTGAAACCTTCAGTCCCAAGAAGGGAGCCTGCTCAGCCTGCATGTCTACCCTGCTGAGTGTCTGTCCTATCTGTGCTTGGGTACCACATTTACCCGTTCTCTCCTGTGTCCAGCCCCCACATGCCTGCCTCCCCCCACCCCCAATGTGTTCCTCCTCCTATTCTTGCTTTTCTGTCACTGGCCCCCATGGCGTCATCGAATCATGTGCCAGCTCCCTCTCACCATGGGTGCAGGATACCTTTCCTGCTTTCCTACACCTGTAGGCAAATTCTCACTTTACATAGGGGTCTGCAGAGTGGTCCGTTTGTATAAAGTGAGAACTGCTTGTAATATAAAGTCATTGGGCCTCAGTTTACTTATCAGCAAAATGAGGGGAATTGAACTTTTTCAGTTCTAAGACTGTAAGCCTAGAATTGTTGGAATAATCTTGGTTCTGTAAGATATGTAATTCTCCCTTTAATGCAGTTGCAGAAAGATGATGATTTTGGCCAAAAAGGCAGACGTTTCCATAAATATAAGATTTCTGAAGGAAGCTGGGTATGCCTACCTTTTGCTTGTGTCATAATGCAGCAAAGTCCTCATAAGCCAAATAAGCTGATAGAAAGTTTTTAGATTACATAAACATCACCACTTACACCATGCCGTACTAATTTATATAGCTTTATCTTGTCTCTGTACTACCTAAACTTAGCTCTGGCGCCAATATCATTCTTGAAAGTCTTTCCAGCTCAGCCTTTATTTGAACCAGAACTTACATTCAGCAGTAATTAAGAGAGATCTTGGTTCCAAAATATTTTATCCCCATTTTGCAAATAAAGAAACTAAGCTTTTACTGAAACTAAATAACTTATCCAAGGTCACATAGCTAGTGATTGAACCAGTGCTTGAACTCAGGGCTTAGGTCTCTAAAATTATTAATCATTACATTACACTTTACTGCTTCCTTAATTCAGGAAATAGGAGAAGCATTTGCTAGCAAATAGGTAGTAAGATTAAGTTTTAGAGGGCAACTAGTTGGTGCTAGATAAAGCTTGATGGACTTTTGAGTCAAGAAGACCTGAGTTCATATCTCATAACTTTATTAGTTGTATGCTTAAGGCACTTAAGCTCTTAGTTCCAGTTTCTTCTAATTTAAAATGGGGATAATAAGCAGGTTTTTTTTGAGGAGCAAATTAATATTTGTAAAAGTACTTTCCAAAATTAAAGGCTGTGTGTAAATGCTAGCTTTTATATTTGTTCTGTATTTGGGGTATGAATGGGGGGGTATATTTTAGCTCAGAAGCAGTTTTTTATTTTAACATTTTATATTTTACTTGTATATGCAGTTGGAGGTAGACCAGTGTGCCAGACCATTGAAATGAACTGAAAAATAAAAGGAAGCCTTCATTAAAGGTCAATATGGTGGAAGAAGGGGAAAGGAAACCTGTGTTGGAAATGGTCCAAGCTGCTGGAACAGACGGAAACTGTGTCACATTTGTGTTGTATGATGAGGACCATACACTAGGAAACTCTCTACGTTACATGATCATGAAGAACCCAGAAGTGGAGTTCTGTGGGTACAGTATCACCCATCCTTCAGAAAGCAAAATTAATTTTCGCATCCAGACTAAAGGGGGTCTTCCAGCTGTTGAACCCTTTCGACAAGGCCTTAATGAGCTCATGGATGTCTGTCAACATGTGCTTAACAAATTTGAAGCAAGTATAAAGAACTATAAAGATCAAAAGCAAGTTGAAATGGAATAGTTCTACTCTTGATCAGATTAGAATGCATACCTGTGTACTGTCTAATTTTATAGAATATTGAATGTTTTTGTTACAATGTAATATGTGTAAAGAACTGGCACAATACTTAATAAAATCACACATAAGACAATAAACCTGAAACTCCAAATCTATTTTCTGATTAAGGAATTTCTTCAGTATTCCAATCTATTGGTGATTTCAATCCCTGGCCTTTTTTAAACCCCAATGAAAGCTATCCAGCCCTTCTCACTTGGCATAATTCTTGTCTGTGTTTTCCACGGACAACTTCTTACTGGGGGCTTTCTACATAATTTTACATTTCTTAGGCAATATGATCTTTTATTAGGACCTGACAACCAGGCTTTTGCTAGCAGGTAGGTTCTGATGGGCTGAGAAGATGAACACCAAAAAAGTGTAGGAGATTTGAGCCAATTTCATGACTTGCATCCAGTGTCATGTCATACACTTTAAAGCTTATCATTTCACATGTAATTCATTTTTTGTGTATGTGCATATATAAAGTGTCCATATTTTTTTTTTTTCATTAAATTCACATTTTTAAATGTTTAAATACAAATGGGGGTTTGGTATTTATCACATTCTGTTGCATTCATGTACCACACTTAGCCATTCCTGAATTGGTGGGCATTTACCTTGTTACCACAAAAAGGGTTTGTATTTTGAGGTATAGTGTGACTTCTTATCAATGACCATTTTTGTGTCTTTCCTTTTAGAATCTCTGGATCAAAGAGTAGGGCCATTTTAAACACTTTGCATAATTCCAAATTTACAAAATGGCTATACTTATTCACAGCAAAGTACTATATAAAGTTAGCTATTATTCCCTCTTAATCTTTATTCAAATGTCATTCCCTGATTTCCTCCACTGCTGTCTCATATGGCAGAAATGACCTGTTAAGGCAAACACCTGTACATGTGGCCTTCATTCCTTTCTGTCCCTTCTCCAGCAGAGTGCTCTATCATTACCACTCAATAATTTTCAATATCTATCACTACTGCCTGCAAATACTCATGTTTCTCCCACTTGATCCCTACTGTGTATCATTGCATATCTCCTTCCTTTCATGGCTAACTTCTTGAAGAAGCCATCTTAAAATTCATACCTCCACTTGTCAATTCTGTACCCTCAGGAGTCTTGACTTCATCATTTGAGTGGAATTGCTCTCCAAAGTCACCAATGATCTCTTCATTGCTAAATCCAATGCCCTTTCAATCTTCATCCTTGACCTTTCCCAGCATTTAAGAGGGTGTCAGTCACCCTCTTCCTGGATCATCTCACCTCTCCTAAGTTTCTGTTACAGTGTCTTTCCTGGTTCTCTTCTTACCTGTCTTGAATGTTCCTCATTCTCCTTTGCTTGATCATCATCCAGGTCATGCGTGATAACCCAGGGTGTCCTCCAAGGCTCTGTCCTGGCCCTTCTTTATATACTATTTTGTTTGGTGATCTCATCAACTCATGAAAAAATACTTAGAGACACTCTTCATAGTAGCCAAAAATTAGATACTAAAGGGATGTCCTTTTATTGGGGAATAAACAAATTGTGATATGAATATTATTGTGGTATATGAATGTGATAAAATATTTTTTTGCCATAAAAATTATTAAAGGGATAGTTTCAGAGAAAACTGGGAAGACTATAAACTGCTTAAGAGCAAAGTGAGCGAAACTAGGAGAGAGATTTATACAATGATAACGTTATAGAGTAAAACAACTTTCAAAGACTTTAGAATTCTGATCAACACAATGATAAAGCATGAATCCAGAAGAATGAAGATGAAACATGGTACTCACCTTCTGACAGAAAGGTGATGAACTTAAAATGAAGACACAGATGTCCATTTTTGGACAGGGCTAATGTGTAAATTTGTTTTGCCACTATGCAGCTATGTATTGAGGACTTCATTTTTTAAAATTTGCTCATTTAGGGGGGTGAGGATAGTGAAAGGAAGAGATTAATTTAAATGCTTTTAATTGAAAAATAAAAACAAAGCTATAAAAAAGACAAAAAATAAAGAGGTCAAGTAGGGAACAAATTAGATAGACAATGTACAGAAGCAAATGAACGTAGTGTTTAATAGAGTCTAAGACTCCAGCTAGTAAAGCAAGAATTCATTCACTATTCAACACAAATTGTTTGGAATGCTGGAAAATAGTCTGGCAGAAATTAGGTATAGGACAAATATCTCTTAGCATATACCAAGATAAAACTCCAAATGGATACATTACTTAGATATAAGCACTTACACCATAAATAAGTTAGAGGAACAAGGAAAGAATAACTTTTACAGTTATGTGTAGGAAAAGAGTTTGTGACCAACAAGGTATAGAAAAGATCACAGAAGACAAAATGGACAATTTTAATTATATGAAATTAAAGTTTTTGCACAAACAAAACCAATGCAATTTAAGAAGGGAAAGCTAAGAAAAAATCTTGGCAAATATTTTCTCTGATTAAGGTCTCATATCCAAGAAATTGATTCAAATTTACAAGGAAAAAAACATTTCTCAATAGATAAATGGTCAAAAAATACAAACAGGAAGAAATTCTCAAAGGAAGAAATTCAAAACATCAATAACCGTATGGAGAAGTACTCTACATCACTAATAGCAAAATGTAAATTAAGTCAACTCTGAAATTCTACATCATACCTATCAGTTTAGAAAGGATAGCAAAAAAGGAAAATGTCCATTGGTAGAGGGGTTTCAGAAAGACAGGCACATTGATGCACTCTTGATGAAGCTATGCATCTGTCTAATCTCTTTGGAATGTAATTGGAAACTATATCCCTGAAGCTGACAAAATGTGCATACCCATTGATCCAATGATTCCACTACTTCACCTATGCCTCAAAGAGATTTTTTTTAAAGAGGACAAGGATCCATGTATAAAAAAAATATTTATGACAGCTCTTTATTATAGTAAAGAACTGGAAACTAAGGCAGTATCCATCAGTTGGCAACTGCTGAAGATGTCATGGCATATTGTAAGAAATTATTAAATGGACAATTTCAGAGAAATTTGGCAAGACTTATATGAACTGAAGCAGGATGAAGTGAGTATGCCAGGAAAATAATTTGTTCAAGCAACAACATTATAAATAAAAGCAACTTTGAAAAAACTTAAGAACTGGGATCAAAGCAATGACCAATCACATTTCCAGACTGATTATGCAGCATGCTATCCAAAACTGACAGAGATAATGGACTCAGGGTGCAGAATGAGACAGACACTTTCAGACACAATATAAGAATTCCTTTACTTGGTTACGTATATCTGTTATGTAACAACTCCCACAGTAGTGCAGTGCTAAATACTGAGGAAGAAGTTTAAAGCTTGTCTTAGCATTCTAGGTTCAGTACTTTTTTTACTCTTCTTCATAGCCTAGAACTCCCATGAGAAGTAAACTTAGAGATCAAGGCTTGAAAGTGTTAAAGAGAGAGAAGAAAGGGGTACTGACTTTCTCTGTCCTGGAAGCAAAAGAATGTAACCAGAAGCAGGCTGGGAACAACTTTAACAAAGGTGACACCGAGGACAGCAACTCAAATGCTGTTTCCATTTGTAGGCCATGGGAGGTTGTATAGAAATGATTTGGGAAGTTCTTGTCAGGGCAATGCAGTTTGAGAAACATTAAAAAAAAAAAAACCTAAACTTTATCCAACTTCCATCTGTCTGCTTCTTCATTAAAAAGCATTTGTTTGTCATTGATGTTCATGTTATGAGCTAAAGTGTTTCCTTTGTACTGACTCTTGCACTTTTTTCCCTGTAGAACAGGATTGATTCCTCGTGTTCTTTTGTTCAAAGATGTGCGTGTGTGTGTGTGTGTGTGTGTGTGTGTATGTGTGTGTGTGTGTGAGTGTAGTGGGGGAACAGCTCTAGTAGTTTGAACCACATAAAAGAATACTAAATGAGATATTCTTCCTTCCTGATTCTGGGCTGGGAACCTCAGTCTCTGGTCTTCTTTTTGACTGGGGACATACATTGTGAGCCATTTATCCCATGTTTCCTTATATTGTAAGCTCCTCAAAACAGAAGTTTAAAAAGAGAATTCTGGGACATTTCTTTCTCTAGGCAAAAAGAACCTAATTTTTGCTGCTACTATAATACCTGGCAGCTAGAGTTAAAAGATTCCACTCCCACCCACCATCCACCCCATTAAGGGCAGGAGGGGACGATAATAGGGTTGTCAAAATATAAAACAAAGAAATATACTCAAGCATTTTTCAAAATTGCACAAAAAAAAACCAGATGGAAGACCAGAAGGGAACACAGATAAACAGCACAGTTTCCAAAGTTATATATTGAACTAGATACTTAAAAGGGAAAGCAAGCTGTAAATGATAGAGATTCTCAGTTTCATCTATAATCCTCTCTTTTCTACTTTGTATATGGAAATGGTCATCTTACTTGGTTTTTGTTAAGTTCAGGATTTAACATTTTTTAAGTGATTATATAATTCATTTTGTAGGCTCTGCAGTGTTCTAGGATTTTTAGCTATCAACACAATGTTATCTCAGGAAGGAGCATATAGAGGACTTTATTATCATAAAGATTCTCTTTTTGATTTGAACTCTGTGATGTACATGATGGTGACAAACATCTTTGGTGAGCATATATATGCCTCCCTATTTTATGCCTTATTTGATATATTTTTCTTTTTTAATATTTTATTTATTTTAATCAGCTAAGATCCACCTTCACACTCTCCAACTGTAACAGCCAGTCCCCAGTTGATAAACACAAGAACAGGAGCCCTCACAACATGTATAGTCAATCAAAATAAATTTCCACATTTGCCACACACACAAAAAAAAATTGTTTATTCTGTATTGAGCCCTCTCCATCAGTAGGTGAGTAGCATGTTTCATCATTAGTCTTCCAGAATCTTGGTTTTGTCATGATGCTGATAAGTAGTATTCCATCACGTTTATATACCAAAACTTGTTCATTACCCAGTTTAAGGGCACCCCCTCAGATTGTTATTCTTTGCCACCTCAAAAAGAGCTATAAACATTTTTGCGCAGTCTTAGAGTTTGTTTTGCTGAGAACTAATCCCTCCCTTAATCTACCCTCCCTCTAGTTCCTCTTTCTCCCTTTTCCTCTTTCCCTTCTATTTCCCTT